CAAATAATTCTTCTTCATTCTCTCTCTATTCTCCCACTCTGCAGAATTCGTTGATTCAGTCCCTAACATTATGCTCTGTCTGCTTTTGCTCAGAGTAGCATCATCTTGTCTGTTCCTCTTTGGCTGTGACTCCATATTGGAGAGAAATATCAGCTGTGCTGCTGCCATCAACACCGTTGTTTATAGATGTTTGAGCGTGGCCTGTTTTTCAGTGTAGTCCTGTTTCTCTGACTCTGACTGGCTGGATGTGATGTGAATTGGTGCTATAGAAGTAAACTGAATTGAATTAAATAAAACTATTTTTCAAAAGACATTTTAACATTTAATTTTAGTTATATAATGGGACATTCAAATATTTTATATCCTAACAGTGTATATATATATATATATATAAAACATTTGACTCATGTAGGGGATAGAAACAAATTAATGTTCTATCTACTTACTTTATGAGAAATTCTCACGTATGTATTTCATGATGTACTTTTGCCCTCGGTAAACCTCAGGGAGAACATCACAATGATGTTTCTTTTTTCCGCTTTTAAACTGTCTGCAAACTATCTTGCCATTATTTCTGTTGTAATATGACCCAGTATAAATGATTTAATTTGGCCCAGTATAAATTTGAATCAAATAAAATGACTTGTTTTATTAATCTGAAAATTTTTGGGCAAAAAAAGCAGAGTTTGAGCTGCAGCTTTGGTCATTTGAAGCTGCTATCTACAGTTCCTAAAAAAACAAAACTTTTTCAGGTAGAAACTATACCAGGAAACCACAAACCTGGGGTTTTCTGGTTATTTAATAACTCGAGCCAACAAAATCCTCTCAACAGCAATCAGGAGCTAAATTTTTCCACTGGAAAGATTTTATCGGTTTATGTTACAGCTGGAAATCCTCCAGTCTCCTCCTCTATTAACAACAAGAAGTGCATTTGGCCATTAGAAAAACCTCTTAAAGCAGAGGCGCTCAAGTCCAGCCCTCAAGAGCTACCACCCTGTAACTTTTAGATGTATCACTTCCCTAACACACCTGAATCTAAAGGCTCAATAAGGAGCCACTCATTTAATTCAGGTGTGTTAAAAATGGGGTACATCAAAAAGGTGCAGGATAGTTGCTCTTGAGTACTTGACTTGAGCACCCCTGTCTTAAAATAAAGATAAGAAGCTAATCATCAACATGAGAAACGACATTAATAGAGTTAAACTCTGCAAAAAGGCTGGGTGATGCACTGAATCACTACTTACAACTCAAAGCTGCTGCACTGCTCCATGTATTCACCATGCTGGGCCTTTAAACAGGAGACACCACAAAACAACAATATAAACACAATAAAACAACTACATCACGTTTGCAAAGTATGTGTTTATCAATAAGCATGCAGGATAGCTTATAAAATGTTAAAAGCACATAAACAATCCTACACGTTGCAAACATTATCAGCTAAATGGAAGTAACCGCAGCAAAAAAGGGGATTTTTATCATGAGAACTAGAAGAGAAACTAGCTAACGTTGCAGAGATTTCAGACAGCTCTGTTAGCATCAGCACAGACATAATACATCCCATTTAAAAACAGATCGCTTTAACTTTATCTGGAATAAAAAATAAAAAAGCCCCAAAACATTTATAAACACGTTGTAGTTGTATCAAATGCTAATAATATAGCATTAGACCACAGATGAGTCCATTATCGGACATGTCATAATACCTTACCTTAGGGTGTATATTGATAATATTCCTTATTTTATTTGAGCTTATCTGATGTAAGGTTACCCCACTTTTATCAGTTTATCGACAGTTTGAGTTTAGCTTAGCTGTACATTTAAATATGTTAAATTGACAGCCGTGTTCGGCTCTTCTGATAATGCTTATGACTATTATCGATAAGTTCCCTTATAGTAAGATCATTTCAGAAATATAACAAGGAATATTTAACTGATTCGGAGTAATGACTGATATATTTCAAAACGAATCTAGACATAAACATCATATAAAGGGCAATGGGCGGGTAAAACATTGTCCGATAATGGAAGCCGGGTTGACACTGATAACACAGGCCTCGAGGCGGCAAACTGATGAGTAGCTAGCGGAGGGACGGCGGTGCAGCTTTAAACTCACCCCATCCTCCAGATCGTCGTCAGAGACATTCTCGTCTGGTTGATCCAAATCGATGTCAAAAACCCCGGCCATGTCAGCGACACTTTCTCAGAGAGGAATCAGTAAAAAAGCAGTCCCGCTCTCCCACCTCATGGGAGAGCCATCACCGCAACCACCGGCTACAGCAGCAAACATCAAGCTAGCTTCAGTTAGCTGATGCTAACTGATGCTAGTGAGGCTAACTGATGCTAGCTGATGCTAACCAAAACAACCGCGAGCGCGGCGTCACGCCTCGCCTCAAACACTATCGCTCTTTTTTTTTACCGGTAGACGAAAAAAATAAAAATGAGCTAATATTTTAACTTCATTTCATAAAGTTTTTAAAATAAACTATTTTTATTTAAATTTATTCTATTAAAATACTAAAAGCAAACAACTACAACCCGTATTTATTTTGTATTTAATTTTATTTATTTTAAAAACTAGACTAACTTATTGCATTTTTCCAACCAGGAGATGGCAGCAGCGCAGAAATTAGCTTTATTTATTTCTTTTTTATTTTTGCTATAATATTTTTTTCTTCAGCACCTTCCTTAAGGTGTAGTAATAAACCCTCCCACTGCTGCAGGTCTTTTGCTTAAATTACCTGAATTTCGTTTGTATGGCGCCCTCTGGTGGTGTACAATAAAACTAAATCCTGCATTTGGGGAAGATTTCATAATCAATACACCAGATCATCAGATAAAGGGAAAAGTGGGAGTTCAAAACACGCCCTCAAGGTAAATTATATGCAGTACAACTGCCTCTTTATGATGAGTTAAAATGTTAGATTTGTGGTTTAATTTCCGTTTAGACAATCAGCTTGATATAAACACACTTTCATAAAAATTGGCAACATGTCTTCAGAAATTTCCACTAAATATGAAGCAGCATTGGGAAACATTTTAAACTTTATTTGCCTAATTTTTCGCAGTTTAAGAAATAAACTTAATAAAATTGTTCATGTTTTGGTAGGAGGATTTATTTCCTCTGCATAAATCAATAATCATTTTTTTTTATCAATCAAATAAATATTACTGTAAAAATGTCTATAGCTGTATGTTGGTTATTAAATCTCCAGTTTCTAGAGTATTTGTATTGTCAAAACACTTTACAGCACAGTTATTTATTGTTTATGTTTTAACTCTTTACTATTATGTTATTCTTATAAATTTTTTCTAAGCTCCACATTTGTGTGACTATTTTTTTCTATAAACTTTTTGCTGCTGTAAATACCAGAATATCCCCATTGTGGCAGAATAAAGGTATTTTCTATTCTATTCTATTCTATTCTATTCTATTCTATTCTATTCTATTCTATTCTATTCTATTCTATTCTATTCAAATTATTACCAAAAATAAAAAAATAAAAAGTTTAACTTTATTTTAAAATAAAACAGATTAAATTAAATTCAAGCAGTTTTTACCCTTTTGTTTTAGTTTTCTATTTAAAGTGATAAATAAAGGCAAGTGGTTTCAAAATAGGAACCCCCTCTCACCAGCACTACTACCAAAAAAAAAAAAAAAAACAAGAGAAGAAAACAATATATATATTTTTAAACCATATGTAATAACCAATGATTTTCTGCATCCAAACTTATCAAAAACATTTGTGCTCTTCCATAAAAAATTTGAAGAACAAAATGTGGGACATCTTTGAGATATAGAAGGAGAAATTGCCTCTTTTACAGTTAAAGAATATTATTGACATAATCTGTTAGAAAATTCTCTGTTTTTGTTTTACCTCTGATTTAGCTTTTAATGTTTTAAACACAAGAAAAAATATCCAGTGAACTTTACATCTCCATCGATCTGTTTCAAGCACAAACATACACAGGGCTCATATATATATATATTAAATACCAAGAATATGATATATTTCTTATGTTTTCTAAGTCAAATTCCAGTGGAAAAGCATAACACCTTTACTGGGTACAGAAGAAGCTGTTGAGTTTCAAAGTGATTTCATTTCATTTCTCTATAAATATATGTCAGTTGCAATATATATATATATATATATATATATATATATATATTTGGAATTTAAGAAAAAATACAGACAAACAGCTGTTTTTTTTTTTTTTTACTTTTTTGTACACTGATTAGATCATCTGTATATCTAAAACATAAACAGTGTCAGAGCTTTAACATCTTCTCCTCCTCTGTGCTCAGAGGGGGGAAAAAAAGAAATAAATAAAAATAAACATTATAAAGCACTGGCTGAAGTTAGAGTTCACAAAAAACCCACAATACAAATTCAAAGAAGCATAAAACAATAAGAAACTATTTTTCTTTAACCTGCTGAAACATGTGTAAATTATTTAGAGTAATTAAAGCAGAAAAGCTGCTTTATGTTTTTGTTTCCTTTTTGAGTTTATCATCTTAGTAAAAAATACTAATTAATGGGAATTGTTAATTTATGGGAGCTGTTTGAAGATTTTAAAATAAAGGCAAAGATCGATATTTCCTGTTTGAGGAATATCCAGTGGAACGGGAGAGCTGTTTCAGCTAGAGTAGCCCCAATACTGGATGCAAATAACAGTTAACCACATAATCTATTTTCTGATTTTTATGTGAAAGCTATGTGAAAAATCAAATTTTTCACATAGCTTTAGAAAAACTAATGCAATATATATATATATATATATATATATATATAAATATATATATTTAAATGACAGCATGTTTGTAGCTTAGAAATAAACTTCAACATAGTTTATTTTGATATGTAGGCTGGTATAAACTCAAAGAGCAGCACTTGACCTGTATTTCCCTTCATCATAAAAACATGTGGTTAACTGAACTTTGACTTTTTATTTATTTTTACAAAAATCTTTCCTAACATAATGCTTTGTCATGATGACAAAATGAACAGTAAAACCAGTTTGGTGCACGTCAAAAGGATTAATCTCTAAGATCTGCCCCCTGCTGTTTCTCTTCAGTACACTCAGAGTGACGCGGCGCCGGCAGAAAGTGTTTCCTGATAAGAGTTTGTTTACAAACGAACTTATTTACACTGCATTTGACCCTATATAACAGTCACAATGAAATTAGTTAGATGAAATCCCCTCCATTTCCACAGTTTTGAATGTGGAGGGCTGGTTTTAACCACAACTTCTTTTACTTTGGGTTTGTGTGGTCAGGTTGTGAGGAGGGGGTTCACCTAGAACTTGTTTTCTTATTCCTGAGGAAAGCCCCCACACCCCCTGCCGGGCAGCCTTATTTTGACCACTGCCTTCAACTCCATCCGCAGGGTTTGTTTAACCTCAGCTGCCTTGTGATGGAGACCAGCTCCGGTGGGTGAAGAGAAAAAAATCTGTTTTCTGCTTGTGTTCAGTGTTCTGTTTATGCTGGGAAAAAAGCAGCAGACTAGACACTGGAAGAGAATTGTGGTGACGACTCCAGACTGGTTTTGTATCCCCCCCCACCCCAATCATTTTGCATATCAACTCACTTTATTGTGTACCTGTGCTCAATATGAAGAGCCATTCATTGAAGGCTGCTGACTGAAGCTGTCACTGATTTCACTCTGCTTTTGTTTAATATGAAATCATATGTGTCATATATGATTTATTGACCCTTCAAGAGCTCATGTTTGAAAAACTGCTTTGGACTCGTGACACAAAAATCAGCAATACATTTAAAAGGAACAGCAGATGAAACAGCCAAGAGGATCAGTTTTTAACGTTTTAAATATGAAGTGATTCATTCAGGGCCTGATTTAGAAGGATGTGGCTCTTTAGTGGATCTACTTAGACTGAAATGGGATGAGTACAAAAAGGATATCCCAACATTTGATGAAAATAGAAATTATTAACCCATAGAGACCCAAAGTGAAGCCGATAACATATGATTTGCAGAAATCTTAAAAAACTACTCAGTAGTTTAAAAAGGTGGGTAGTAACTAGTTACATTTACTCAGTTACTTGAGGAAGTTTTTGACACAAAGACAATTTTAGGAGTAGTTTTACAGCACCTTAAGTTTTAGTTTCACTCTAGTAAAATCTTAATTTAATATCTATACTCGTATATACTACCGTATACTAACTTGTGTAAGATGTTTGGCTCCTCCATCCATCATGAGTAACTTCACAGAATAACAAACAAGCTTGTTTTGAAATAAGGTGATTCCAGAAAAAATTATATCTTAGACTTAGAAAACGTTTATTGTGGTTTTGTTTACACAAAGTGCATACAAAACGAAATTTCATTTTGTACAGCTTTCAGAATATTCCATTTCTTAAAGTGCAGCAGTGATCAAAACTCAGTTTGATGCAGAGTCAGCAACATGATTTAGAGTTTTTTTTTTTTTACATTCAGCTGTCTGATGGCGGTGGGAAGAAGCTGTTCTGGAATCTGCTGGACCTTCTCCTCTCCCCTCCAAATGTCTTATGGAGGGGAGAGGAGCCCCGAGAGTTTTTTTCCAACAGTTCAGCAGTCACCCATCCTCACCACCTTCTACAGAAGCACCATAGAGAGCGTTCTGACCAGGTGTCTCACTGTGTGGTGGGGAGGCTGCAGCGCCTCAGACTGGAAGAAGGTGAGAAGAGTGGTGAGAACAGCAGAGAGGATCACCAGGGCTCCTCTTCCCTCCATTAAAGACATTTTCTGATGGCAGTCCCCACTGCCATCAGACTGTTGCAGCTGAATTGTTGAAAAACAAAAAAACTCTTCCCTGCCTGCCACTGATAACACCAAACCAAAAATACCGCATATCTGCACCATGTATATTAATGCTCTAAACTTGAATCATGTTTTTTCTTCCACACTGTTTATATTTGATCACTGCTGTACTTTATGGAATTTAAATGTTCATTTACTGTATGGAAAGCTGTACTAAACTAAAATTCGATTTTATACACTGTGTTTATACAAAATACCTTAAAAGTTTAAGGAAGACAAAATGCTTTTTGTGAAGATTAAGTGTGAATTTTCCTCCATAGGATATTAGCCCAACATAAAGCCCAAAATAATTTTCAAGCTAATAACAAGGAACATGAATTAGTTCTAAAACCAACAGTCTAGATTCTAACTGCTTAAGGTGGCTGCACGTTGGAGTAGCTCTGCTAGCTTGACTCTGTTACCCTTGTCACACCAGCCAAAAAAACTGTTTAAATCCCGGGAACAATCGGCTTTTAGCAGCAGTGGGAACAAATGACTCAGAAATCGACCCGCATTAAAATCGCCTCGGCTCTGATCGGCATGCTGT